TTACGCTTCCCCTCCACCATTTACCGTTTCATTACCCCCCCCCCCTCTCATTGCCGCATTCCAACCCCCCCCTTCTGCCTCCGCACAGTGCGGAAATCATCCAATCAGCCTGGCGTAGACGCCGTCATGGCGGGGCCAGGGTCAAAACACAGACAAACGGGATGGCGGGCGTCCGCCTGGCAGGATGGATGGGAGGATGGGTGGGTGGAATGGAGGGGTGGAGGGGGGCTGGATAGATGGAGGCATTCAGTGGTTCCGTGAGGAAACGAGACCAGGTAGGTTCGCACCACCAAGATGAGATACGTGAGAAACCGTAGCAAGATCCATCCGGCCGTCCTTTCATTTTACGGATTAACTCAAGTATTTGTTCAGTCCATCAAAACGTCAGAAAGTCTCCTGTTCCTGAACCCGAGGAGACCCACTGTTGGTGTTATTGACATGATCTGTGTGGCATCTGAGATCAGAGGAGTCAGTGGTCATTAGGACAGATGAAGAGGAGGAGCGAGAGGGGCAGTGAAGGGCAGACAGAAGGTCAGCGACACGTCGGACTACTACTGCTTCTACAAACCACACGGCCGACTAATTTATCCAGGGATTCATGAGCATGAGTCCCACATCCAGGTGTGCGGTTTGCTTTCATAAATAATTACATTGTGTAATATGTAACTCAATTTCGATTTCCATAAAAACATTAGAATCCCTCCAACAATCAGTGGAAATGCTGTTCAAATGTTAATCCACAAGAAGCCCCTTTAAAGGGATATCAGCCAACAAGCGCACACGCACACACACACACACACACACACACACACACACACACACACACAGTCTAAAGCTGCATTTAATGAAAAACCCAATGTTATAAACTGCCTCATTGCACAAAACGATTATTATTTGCCAACAGGGTTATTGATCAATGCCATTCACTGTGTTCCCCCCCGCTGCTAGCCGTTGTGCTAAGCTAGCACAGAGGATCGTCACATGAAAAGGTTCGCTTTAACCAAAACAAGCTCATATGTGATAGCGCTTAAGCTCTTCTCCCGTTTAAGTCATGACGTTGTTCCGACCTTCCGTATTATAATAAGCGAAACTCAATTAAACGTCTACGCAGCTGTTTACCGCGACGCTGCGCTAACACCGCTACGCAGGGTAATATTAGGACGGATAGCCGCACCGCTAAAGGGCAACGCGATCCATATGCTACGCTAATAACGCACAGAGACGGCAGGTGAAAGACACCGATGGAGGACACCATCCTTCAGAGAACTGTAGATGCATCCTGCATGTCTATTAATCAATACAGCGGCGTACCAGCATACCGGCTGATCAATACTAAACCATTTATGGCTAATGGAGGCGAGGACGAGGGCAAAGCATCAGCACGCTGTACACATCAGACGGTACAAACAAGGTTTCCTCTGTGTGTGTCTTTGAGAAATAAGGAGGACACACAAAGCCCCTTAAATGCATCCACACGTCTTCATGTTTAAGTGGCCATTGCTTTTTTTTACAAATATTTACAAAAATAGGCAAATTATTTACACAATCAATCTCCTTAATATTCACAAATAAATCACCATGCTTGTATTTCCACTTCAAAATGTGCGTCGATAGCGTTAGCATCGCAGGGATAGCATCAGGCGAAATAACAAAAACCACTGTTTTGTATAATTTAATATCATGACTTGATACGACACATAAATGATGTATTTCTATTGGCCGCAGCACGCTGCGCTCCCTCGCTCTTCATACATTCACAGCAAAAGCATCGGGCGACGACGACGCGACGTGACACATTCCGGTCGCCCTAAATGCGCCGCTCACAGCTGCCGCGGAGCGGGTGGACGTAGCCATGGTGGCACCACCCGTTGGGTTTGTGGGCTGCTGTGAAAATGAACCGGTCGGACTGAAAAGGGGCGATTGAAAGCAGGACCTCGTGTTTGAATAGTTTACTTGGTAACAACCGAGAGGGAAGTAGAGTCATTCTCTCATAGACTTCTATGCAGCCAAAGGACTCGCCCCCTGCTGGCGGTAGCGAGAATGCATTCGAAAGACACTTTCGGCAGACGGGCGGCTTCCACCTGGTCACAACCGGAGAAGACGTCTTACGGCCAAATCAACGAGACACATTCAATTTAAAAAGCAACGTAGAACCCAACATTGGGTGTTTCATTGGGTTCCACGTTGCTTTTCGTCTGGTGTGCATATAATGGAAGTCAATGTCACACGTGAGAAATGGCAGCATTTCTCACTGCAGCCTCCCAGCGTGTCTCACGCTGGCGTCACGATTCACAGCTGCCCTTATATCACAACACACACGGCGCCCGATATGTGAGGGGACCCTCATGTTGCCCCGGGCAACTCCCTACCGGCGTGGAGAGCTGCGGGAAATTGAGATGCCAGGTTTGTGTGTGTGTGTGTGTGTCTACGTGCACGTCAATCGTGATGAACATGGGAAGCAAAAAGCTAAAAACAAATTGAAAACGCACTCACGTGGACGCTGGCCAGGTGGTCCCTGTGCATTGCCTCAGGAAACCCCAGTGCAGGCGCAGCGCTGGCGTTTAAATGACCAGGATCAGCGGGCGCGGACTACAACACACGTTTATGTCTTCGTGTGGATTCCTACGCGTGCACGTCTGCATTATTTAGATAGAACACTCATACGGAGGAGGAGAAGCTGGAAACGTGCCCTTAAGCTCAACTCCAGCTCCCCGCTGTCATCAAACACACATCACACACACACTCACAACTCATTTATGTTTAAAATGTCACCGTATTATCAAAATAAAGTACTTTTAGCACTGTATGCCGTGCAAACAGACTCAAGGGGCAACGACCGTGACAATCAGAGTCCTTTAAACGTGACGATTGGTTAGTGCCACTTTTGCACATGTCAGGGTCCCTGTGTCAACATACAATGAGCTTGTTACATGGTAACGTTTCACAATAAGACTCTTCAATGGTTCAGGCAACAGAGCCACTTAGTTGGGAAAACGCTGCGGTCGGCGTTCGGCTGACGGACTAAAGACACTCGGGACCTGAAATCTGGCCTCCTGGGTAATAAGACAGCATTTCTTTTGCTGCTTTTAATTCCATGAATATTTGACCCAGCTACAGCAGACGTGTGTGTGTGTGTGTGTGTGTCTGCTACCTTTTGCTCCGTATTGAAAGAACTGCGTTGAAAACATCCATGTTTTTTTTCCCCTACTGTGTTATCAGCAAACCTACGCGTCACTCAGGTGACCACGCACACAAACAAACACACACAAAACACACACCCCTACAGGAACAAACCTGCCAGGTACGTCATGGAAAGCCTGGCTGTGTTCGCGTGGGAGAGAGACAACGCGCAAAGGTTTGACCAGGTGAGCGGAGTCACGGAAACGGTTGCCGTGGCGACCTCTTCGCCGGCTGGTGCTGCAGGTGTCAATGACGTCGCCGCCGATTGATAAACAGCAATGGAGCGAGGTGACCGGAGGCAGCACACGAGGACATCTGGAGGACACGCCGTCCTTTCTCAAACTCGGCGGGTGAACAGAACGAGTAAACACGCGCACGTACAGGGACGAAAATCACATCACGGTATTAAGAAAGATTCTGACGGTATCCGGTATATCACGGTCAATGAATTAATGAAAAGCAACATTGACCCCGAAAAGGAGTTAGCATGTTAGCTAGTTAGCGTGTTAGCTTGTTAGCGTGTTTGGTGCTGCTAGCGTTGCCACCGGAGGCTCGACCGACTTTGCAGCAAATTGTAATCTGATGCAACGTTCTCCAAAAAACCCTCCAAACGGACTCCGCTCCTCTTGTGTTGGTGCCTCTCTGGTCTCTCGTTGTTCCTCCTGTGTCGCTCTTTTCCGTGTTTTCATGTAGCAGCAGAGTTAGCGGTTGTGGCGATCAACCACAGGGGGCGACTCGTCTGGTTATACAGCAGTGGAATGAGACGCCACTCGGACGACGTATTCCCTCTGTGAACACGGGTTCATGGGTCGACTTGTAGTCGATGGTCCACTTAGAGCCACAAAAGCGTAACGCAGAATGAATTGGTTAATTCACCAGGGGGATGATGTCCTTGTTCCGGAAACTACCGGGATTTCACACACAGAAGCAGTTGGAACGTTGTGTCATTTGGAACTTTGGAGAAGGACGTCCTTTAACGTCCTCCGTGCCTGAGGAACGGTTCCCGCCACGGCCTGCCGGAGAGGACGGAAGCTACGGCCTCGTGACAACGACAAGCAACGCGGACACTAGAGTCCAACGTGCATCGAGTGGATCATCACACACACACACACACACACACACACAACACACACACACACACGTCTGCCTCCCGGTTTGTTTAACAACAATAGGCTACTAAGCCAAACTGTCAATGACGAACCCTTAAAGGGGTTTGGAAATAAAAAAAAAAGTAAAGGGTTTTTCTTTCCACATTTACAAATAACATACAACATATATGCTGTAACTTTATTATCGTGGGGTCGTCATGGCGCAGGGGTAAGACAAGGTGTGGCTGGGAGCACATGGTTGGTGGTTCGATTCCACGCTGCCCCATGTTCCATGTCGAAGTGTCCCTGAGCAAGACACCTGACCCCTAATTGCTCCCCAGGCAAAAATATGAAAAAAGCCAGTATAGTGTAAGTCGCTTTGGATAAAAGCGTCTGCTAAATTACCTGTAATGTAATGTATCCATCACGGGACTTCATTCATATTTAAATTTTAAATTTATCAATAGCAACTAGTGAAACACCTTCAGTTTGAACGAATCTGCTGAGCGTTTAAACGCGTCTGCTGTGACGTCACCAACAACCAACGGCTGAACGTAAAGTCTTACTTTGCTTTTTATGAATGGAAAACGATTTAAAGGCGCTGACAGTTTATTACAACAACACATAAACCTCAAACAGATACGATACTATGTGACTATTGTCACATCATCGGACGCGAGTAACGACGGAAACACGCCGCTTGTAACCGAGACGAAGCGCGGCGAGATCCACCAGGGCCGCAGTGTCCCCCTCCTCTCCCCCTCCTCTCCCCCCTTCCTCCCCCCTTCCTCCTCCCCCCGACCACCCGCGCGGGCAGCGATGTATAATAATAATAAGTGCGGACGCGCCGCGGCCTGCCGAGAACAGCTGTAGCGCGGCGGCGGACCCGTATGCGGCCTCACTGGACCGGACCCGCGTACTAGTGAGGCCGCGCGGGCGATGGAGCTCGTTCCGGGCGGTCCGTCGGTCCTTTACCCGTCTCGCCCGTCGTGACACTGACGGGATAAAAAGCGCAGTGCGTGTGTGTAAGCTGTGCGTGTGTGTGTGTTGCGTTCACGGGCAGCTGTCAACGTGTCTCGTCCCGCGGGGACACCGGGGACGCGAGGCGTCGCCACGACACACCTCACCGGGACGGACATGGTGCCGGCGGGGGGTCCGAGGCTACCGGAAGGTCCGGCGCTCTTCTCTCCCCCTCCTCCTCCCACCCGTCGGGAGGCTTCCTCCGCGGCCTCCCCGGGTCAGTCCTCCTCCGCTGCCACCGTCGGGGTCCCGCGGGGCCTCCGCTGGATTCAAAAACGCGTCTCCGGCGGGAACGAGGCGGAGTTTTTTCCGGCAGCAGCAGCGGCCCGAAGGTGCCGCAGAGCGGGCTCTGTGTCCCCCTCTCTGTCTCCCTCTCTGTCTCCCTCTCTGTCTCTGCCGCTGCTTCGCGCCGGTCGCGGTTCCCCCCTCGCGGACGCCCCGGTGAACGCGTCGGTAATCGGCGCTGAACGGCGGTCTCCCGTCCGGGCGGCACGCGCTGACAGGCGTCAGGTGGGACCCGCCCCTCCGCGCTGCTCCTGCGGGAAGATCGCTTCCCCTTAAAGAGACGCGATCACTCCCACAATTTACGGGGGCTTTGAACGCCACCCCCCCCCCCCCCCCCCCCGCTGCGTTATTAATTGTAACACGTAGTAACATGAAGCACTAAAGCACATTGAATGAGAACAGATACAACAAATACCAAGACTGAATAATTTGATTACATCCATTTACGGATTAAACCCAGAGGCGGGACATTAGCTGCCATGGGTCAAAGGTCAGTCGGGTGATTCTGCTCGTTTCTACAACGTGGCCCCGACCTCGATCATTTTTCCCGCCCGAGGTATCAGATCGCCGAGGCGTCATCGTGACGAGAAGGAGGATGAGAATAAAAACAGCCGGAGCGCTTCGGCCTCCCTGCTTCGTTTCAACATCAGCCGCGGTTCTCCACGCGTCCGTAGCCGGGCTTCGCCAACGTGACACCACGCGTGTGTGTTTGTGCCTTTGGGAAAATCAAAAAATGCCATTTGTCTCTTTTAAATGAAGCCAACTCAACCGTCAGTAACATGCATCCCTCAATATGTGCACAAACCCCCCTGAGGTCCACTCACAGTACCTGAGCACCAGCGTTTAGAACATCATTAACTCAAACTGCAGCAGTGGAGGAGACCTTCGAGGTACCATCAGACTCCTCCATCGTGACGAGCATTAAACGATGGCGACACGTTCCCGTAGAGGCCGTCCGCCCTGATGCCGTGCAGGAGGATGATCCGCTGTATGAAGCCGTGAACGGTTCGGTAGTGAAGCATAAGCTGCTTCAGGCGACTGTCAAGATCACTTTTATTTCTTTATTCACAGTCCAACGTCCTCCTCAGCTTCAACGCAGAGGTAAAGGCCCGCTTACAAACCCGCCCAAAAGAGGAATAAGAACAGAACGCGACCATGCAGAAGTTTGCAGTATTTTATTCACAATACAACATCGATACACGTCACATGTTTAAACTGAGAAAATGCATCGTTTTGAGGGAAAAAATAAGCTCAAACAAGTTGAGGGGTTTGAAATTTGTATCCGTTCTGACCACAGTTTGCCACGTGGCCACAGTCCATCTAAAGGAGCCCCGGCCAGAGAAGAGGTCCGTGCTTCCGTGTATTCCTGAGCCCAGAAGCATTCCTGTAGGAGCTGCGGGGATTGTTCCAGATGACCTTATGCACCGTGGATGATGAGAACTCACAACTCAATCTTTTTTCCTTCTGCTCCACTATTTCTCACCGCGGCGTTTGGGGGGGGGAAATTGATCCTCCGCCCATCTGGACTTGTGAGAGACGCTGCCACTCGTAGCTCACCTAAAACCAAGAAGGCAACAAGACGACAGCGCATCCAGGACCGAGAGGAGACCTGCACGATGCTGCAAACCAGAAGCCAGTCAGATGTGGCCTTCAAAGGCCTTCTGAGGTTCTACGAGCAAACACAGTAATTAATAAGCTATTAGCTAAAGGCAAACGGCATTAAAGGACAGATCCGTCCGCTCTTGTGTCAATGGTCCGGGCTGCGGGTGGTGTAAGGGTGGAGGTGTAATGGGGGTGGGGGGGGTTCTGCGCACACACTCTGGGGCCCACCACCAGAACGAGGACGGATGAGGCGACACCTCAGCAGAACAAAAACAACCCATCTGGCCTGTTTAAGATGTCCGGTTGGTGTTTATTGCGTATCTGACATTTACATGAATGAACAGAGCAAAGCAAGGAGACGTCCGTCCACCCGCTCTCTGTCCGCGGGACGCCGTGGTTCCTCGCGGCGCCCGTTACAGCGTCCCAACAGAGCGGAGCCGTTGTGTGACGGGGTGTGCGTTGTGTTCCCACAGGATGATCGATGGTCATTGATACTAACCTGACAGGCCTCACCTGAGGACCATGTTATATGCAAATAAAACAAGAGAACAAAACTACAAAAACTACATTTATTCTAAATCAGCCGCGTCAGGAGGAACCTCACTGCCCCCCGAAAAGTTGCCTTTAGTGTCGGAAGCACAGGAGACATTCAGCCCCCCAGGGGGGGGGGGGGTCAAAAACCTCCAGCCAATTACCCCACCCGACCCCCACGGTCAGGAGAGGCGCCTGTGTGTGTGTCTGTGTGCGCTCAGCATGCCGCGTCATTGCTTTGTGTTGCTCTTTCGCACGGCCTTTTCTATCTCGAACTGCCGGTGGTCGACGCGCTCCAAGAAGTTCTTCCGCTCCACGTACCTGAACACACACACACACACACACACACACACACACACACACACACACACACACGGGAACAGTTAGTGGAGCTGCTCCATGTGCCCATGAGCAAGACAAACCAACCCCCAACCGCCGCCCCGGGCAACAAAGGATGAAAGCGTCAGCTGTAATGTGAAAGGACAGAGTAGAGGAATCAACTGCTCGTCGCACACACTTCCTCTCCTTCCACTTCAGCACAGGAAGCACTTGTGCAACTTCTTCCTGCAGTGCGTCTGTGTGCGTCTGTGTGCGTCTGTGTGCGTCTTTCATTTAAATAAAACGGCCCGTTGAGTCACAATGTTTTTTTGAGCAATGAAAGTCTTGCGATATTCATGAGTTGCTCCAGCCTCAGCTTAAAATAAACGGTTATTGACAGTGTGTGTGTGTGTGTGTGTGTGTGTGTGTGAGGCAGGTGGAATTAAACCAGCCCAGTAACCATGGCGATTTATTTCAGTTTACGTCTCGTGTGTTAAATCAGCTGCCGCTCTGATGCCCAAACAACAGTTATTCCGTTGTCTTCTCAATGTGTTTCCATTAACATGCATCACTATCGGCGTCACCAGTTTCAGTTGTTGTTCAGATCAGAGGTCCACGAACTTGTTGCCCCGCGGACCGTTTTCATGTCAGACAGCATTTGGCGGCGCGGTGGAAGAAGGTCCGGCGGGCCGACCAGACCGAAGCTTCTCACCGTCTCACAGACGTCCGAGCTTCGCTGCTGGCGCCGTGTTTTTTACCACATGTTTTGGTCTTAAAGGGCCGTCAATGATCAACGGTCGGGAGAATTCAATCGTACGTTTGAACACGGCGACCTGTGGGTGTGAACTCTCACCCCGCTCTGCCCCGGTTGTGGATGGCCAGGTCCTCGGTGATGCCCTCCTCCGACTTGAAAGCGTCCCAGTCCATCTTCGACTTCTCCAGCGTGCTCATCTTCAGTTTCTTTGACCCGATGCGACCCAAGATGCTGGACATGCCCGCCGGCCGCTTGGCGCTGCGGACGCAAAGCAGGTGACGAGTTATGTGACGGCGTAGCGGGCGGCGGCGGGCTACACGTGGCAGAAAGCTCATGACGAAGGTCATTGGCTACTGGTTCTCTACACAGACGTGACACATGGAGCATTCAGCCGACGACCATCTGATGTTATTCATCCAAAACGCCTTCATCTTCCTTTCCTCCCCTGACCCTTGACCCCAAGTAGAGGGGAGCGCGATTCAACGGGGTCCCCACCAAGACGGCAAAAGCAGCATCCTCACACACCCAGCGGAGTGAATCAGTCCGATGAGCCAATTTACCTCGCTGCCCTTTCACACACACGTCGATCTAAATGAGATGAGTTTTAAATGTCACAACAATTAGCAACGGACGCGCTTCCACCAACAGATTAAAACAGACAGAAATCGTTTGCTTCCCCCTGAAGGCTCATCGGCCTAAACGCTCCAGTGTGGTTGGTTTTGCTAAGCTAGGCTAACAACGTCCTCTCCCCAGAGAGACCGTGTTTCCAGTCTTAATGCTAAGCTAGGCTAACAACGTCCTCTCCCCAGAGAGACCGTGTTTCCAGTCTTAATGCTAAGCTAGGCTAACAACGTCCTCTCCCCAGAGAGACGGCGTTTCCAGTCTTAATGCTAAGCTAGGCTAACAACGTCCTCTCCCCAGAGAGACGGCGTTTTCAGTCTTAATGCTAAGCTAGGCTAACAACGTCCTCTCCCAGAGAGACGGTGTTTCCAGTCTCAATGCTAAGCTAGGCTAACAACGTCCTCTCCCCAGAGAGACTGTGTTTCCAGTCTTAATGCTAAGCTAGGCTAACAACGTCCTCACCCCAGAGAGACTGTGTTTCCAGTCTTAATGCTAAGCTAGGCTAACAACGTCCTCTCCCCAGAGAGACGGTGTTTCCAGTCTTAATGCTAAGCTAGGCTAACAACGTCCTCTCCCCAGAGACTGTGTTTCCAGTTCTTAATGCTAAGCTAGGCTAACAACGTCCTCTCCCCAGAGAGACCGTGTTTCCAGTCTTAATGCTAAGCTAGGCTAACAACGTCCTCTCCCCAGAGAGACCGTGTTTCCAGTCTTAATGCTAAGCTAGGCTAACAACGTCCTCTCCCCAGAGAGACCGTGTTTCCAGTCTTAATGCTAAGCTAGGCTAACAACGTCCTCTCCCCAGAGAGACGGCGTTTCCAGTCTTAATGCTAAGCTAGGCTAACAATGTCCTCTCCCCAGAGAGACGGTGTTTCCAGTCTCAATGCTAAGCTAGGCTAACAACGTCCTCTCCCCAGAGAGACTGTGTTTCCAGTCTCAATGCTAAGCTAGGCTAACAACGTCCTCTCCCCAGAGAGACTGTGTTTCCAGTCTTAATGCTAAGCTAGGCTAACAACGTCCTCTCCCCAGAGAGACGGTGTTTCCAGTCTTAATGCTAAGCTAGGCTAACAACGTCCTCTCCCCAGAGACTGTGTTTCCAGTTCTTAATGCTAAGCTAGGCTAACAACGTCCTCTCCCCAGAGAGACCGTGTTTCCAGTCTTAATGCTAAGCTAGGCTAACAATGTCCTCTCCCCAGAGAGACCGTGTTTCCAGTCTTAATGCTAAGCTAGGCTAACAATGTCCTCTCCCCAGAGAGACCGTGTTTCCAGTCTTAATGCTAAGCTAGGCTAACAACGTCCTCTCCCCAGAGAGACGGCGTTTCCAGTCTTAATGCTAAGCTAGGCTAACAACGTCCTCTCCCCAGAGAGACGGTGTTTCCAGTCTCAATGCTAAGCTAGGCTAACAACGTCCTCTCCCCAGAGAGACTGTGTTTCCAGTCTTAATGCTAAGCTAGGCTAACAACGTCCTCTCCCCAGAGACTGTGTTTCAATTCTTAATGCTAAGCTAGGCTAACAACGTCCTCTCCCCAGAGAGACGGTGTTTCCCGTCTCAATGCTAAGCTAGGCTAACAACGTCCTCTCCCCAGAGAGACGGCGTTTCCAGTCTTAATGCTAAGCTAGGCTAACAACGTCCTCTCCCCAGAGAGACGGTGTTTCCAGTCTCAATGCTAAGCTAGGCTAACAACGTCCTCTCCCCAGAGAGACCGTGTTTCCAGTCTTAATGCTAAGCTAGGCTAACAACGTCCTCTCCCCAGAGAGACTGTGTTTCCAGTCTTAATGCTAAGCTAGGCTAACAACGTCCTCTCCCCAGAGAGACGGCGTTTCCAGTCTTAATGCTAAGCTAGGCTAACAACGTCCTCTCCCCAGAGAGACGGCGTTTTCAGTCTTAATGCTAAGCTAGGCTAACAACGTCCTCTCCCCAGAGAGACGGTGTTTCCAGTCTCAATGCTAAGCTAGGCTAACAACGTCCTCTCCCCAGAGAGACTGTGTTTCCAGTCTTAATGCTAAGCTAGGCTAACAACGTCCTCACCCCAGAGAGACTGTGTTTCCAGTCTTAATGCTAAGCTAGGCTAACAACGTCCTCTCCCCAGAGAGACGGTGTTTCCAGTCTTAATGCTAAGCTAGGCTAACAACGTCCTCTCCCCAGAGACTGTGTTTCCAGTTCTTAATGCTAAGCTAGGCTAACAACGTCCTCTCCCCAGAGAGACCGTGTTTCCAGTCTTAATGCTAAGCTAGGCTAACAACGTCCTCTCCCCAGAGAGACCGTGTTTCCAGTCTTAATGCTAAGCTAGGCTAACAACGTCCTCTCCCCAGAGAGACCGTGTTTCCAGTCTTAATGCTAAGCTAGGCTAACAACGTCCTCTCCCCAGAGAGACGGCGTTTCCAGTCTTAATGCTAAGCTAGGCTAACAACGTCCTCTCCCCAGAGAGACGGTGTTTTCTGTAATGTTGTAGTTTGGCATTTACATCAAAACATCGGATTCTGTGTCTGTGTGAGTGCGTGCTGACAAAGTTAATGAGGGAGTGGTGCTAATGGTCCTTTCCTGTTGTCTGACACACACACACACACACACACACAGGACATAGCTCGTGGACACGCTGCTTCCTGTCTGCTGGAAGATGATTTCTCATTTCCTGTCGGGCGGTTTTGGGAGACGTGCACATGCGATGTGAGTTGCCATGACGACAAAAAAAAAAAGTATCAAAAAGAAGATACGTAATATTCATGAATGCAAACTCATAAGGGGCTTTCATTTAGTAACGGCAGGTGGTGTGAGGATTGTACCGGCGCAGGTGTGTGCGTGTGTGTGCGTACCTGGTGCCAGGGAGAGCTGGTTGTCCCGGCGATGGGGCCTCGTCCTCGTCCCCACTCTCCTCCGCTTTGGCGTTCTGGCTCTTGAGATAACTCTGGGCTTCCTTGGAGTCCGCTGACACCACTTTGTTCACCCTGAGACAGAAACACGGCACTTGAGATGACGACGGGGCGATGCACGCAAAGGCTGCAGCACCTTCAGCTCGCGCGTCGCAGCGACGACTCCCGGGAAACGCCGAGTCTCACCAAGCAAAGCCATGGTGGGGCAGGGGGGGGGGGGTATAAATGCACATACATACATGTTCAAGTGCACACGTATAACATGTCAAATGAAACGTTGATTAACGCGCACTTTCCCTTACAAATGCACGCGTTACACAGGAAAAGAGACCAACATCCATCAACACGTATCTCTGCTACGCAGCCGCTGAGCTGCATCTGCACAACAACAAGGCTGCATGAGACATGGAGGCCATGTGAGGAACGTCCTCCGAGAACGCCGCCGCGCCACAGACTCCACGACCGCTGGCATCCATCACGGCGACAGCAGAAGGCCCCTCCCCTCCCCCCCCCCCCCCCCCCCCCGTGATGTATGCTGATCACATGCAGGCATAATTACACAGATGCGCTCGGCGAGGGCGAAGACGGCATCGGAAGAACCAATGAAACGATGACGCGAAAAAGAAAAAAGACGCGGCCTCAGAGGTCAACATTAAGGACGCCACAGGACGAGGGGGCATGATGATGATGATGTTTGTCCTCAGGCTTGGTCAAACTGAATAATAATAATAATAACATCATGTAGGTTTCAGCAGTGTCATCAGTCTCTGCATCAGGATCCGCCGATGGAGACATCCACCTGGTGCTGATGGATCCATAAGCATCAACGCCAATAAGGTAGAAGAAATGTCCGTGGTGTCCAAGCGGACCAAACGATGGACACCAGCTCCTTCCTGAGGCAGCGGCGGGTAGATCCCACCCGGCCGGCGGTTCATCCGGCACTTCTTTTCGTTTTAAACCTTTAATTATTGGTTTGTTCATTTTCTTGTTGTGCCTTGCTCTTGTTGCCATGGTAACCAGGCTCCGGCTCGGTCGTCAGGGCCGGGGTTTGGTATCGTCTGACGCGCCTTCACTCGGCAGGTCGGCGGCTCCACCTGCTGGACAACGCGAGGCTGCGTTTGATCGAACAAACCTCCGCACGTCATCCGGGGCCGCTCCACCGTCGTGACCGGAAAACAGCGGGTTTGGTGTGTCGGCGACGCCTCCGAGGACTCACCTGACCTCTTCTCCGGCGAAGTCGAACACTTTGGTGATGGTGACCTGAGCCGGTTCTGACGCCTTGGTTCCTGTGCTCAACGCAGCCGCCGCCGCCGCCAAGGAATCCTCCTGAGGATCCGAGACGAGTCATCAGAATATACAACACACGCTCGGCCATTATTACAATTCTGTGTTGCGATTAGTTGCATGATTTTATGTGAACATTGCTGCCGCTACCTTGGGCGCGGTGCCGGGGCGCGGGGCCGGCGGAGGGTCTTTGGGTCTGGTTCCGACGTCGGACAGGAAACTGGCCCAGAGGTCGTCGGACTTTTTCTTCTGTTTGGCGTCGTCCTCCTCCCGGACCGCCGGCACCGGCCCCTCCCCTTCCTCCTGCGGCGGCCGAGACTCCTCCTCCTCCTCCTCCTCCGCGTCGTCCTCGTCCACTTTCAGGCCTCCTCTCTTCCTCTTCCTGTGACGGGTTTGAGGGAACCAGTGAACTTTGTATCATCAAAGCCAATAAGAACAGCACATAAAAACTATGATTCTTTATACGGAACTAAAGTCTCTGTAACGTGATGAGGGAAGCGATTCATTTCCGCCGCGCTGACCCCATTTCATCCCGAGGTGCGTGGAGCTGAAGTTCTGTTTCAAGCCCACGACAGACCGGAATAGGACAGCGCGATGAACATCTGGGAGGAGACCTTCTCACCTGGCACCGACCTCCTTCCTCTTCCCGCCCAGCTGCTCAGGAGGCTCCTCCCGCTCGCACTCACCGATGACGTCGTCCTCGCTGAGGTGATCATCTGAGGAGGAGGACAAAGACAGAGGAGGGGGCGGGGTTTGCGGGTCAATAGGTGGCCTTGAGGGTGAGACGCCGCGTGCCACCTGCGAGGTGAGTAAATGAAGCCCACCCCCCCCCCCCGCTCACCTGACGGGACGTAGTCCGCGTCCTCGGTGGACGAGTACCCGTCAGAGTCGTAGTCGGAGTAGCCGTTCATCTCCGCAGCAGCAACAACAGGCCGGTGGAGGCAGTGACGTCAGCGTCAAGCGAACAGACGCGCGCTCGTTTCCCGCCTCCGGCGCGCCCGTGACGTGAACGCGCCTCTAGATTCTCCCCCCCCTCCTCCTCGCGTGGAAACAAACACGCGGTCCGAGTGTCGCCGCTTCGACGCCGCACGCGACAAACGCCGCGTGAAACGGACGCTCTGGAGAAAAAGGAGGAACGCGGCGTGACGTCATCAGGCGTCGACGGAACGCGCCGAGGTTCAGCTGCTCCGCTGACTGCGCATGCGCGACGTCAAGCGGGCAGCGGAGGAATGAACAGCGCCGCCTGCTGGCCGGAGGGCCAGTTTGCACGTTTTATCACTTATTCCGAGTTAACTTGTTCACACTTCGTCACTTTTGTCACTTTCTGTTCGCTAGTGCACTTAAATTATTTTATAAAGTATTATTTTATTCTAAACTAACCCATAGCCTTAATACTACTAACCTATAGCATTATATTTAATGTTATTGTCGTACTGATACGAACCAACCGCCAAGTCAAATCCCTGTATGTCTGACTTATTATGGCAATAACTGATTCCTGATTTAACACTGACACGATTGGGACAATAGAAACACCAGCTCGGAGTTCAGATGAATCTCACAGAGTCAATTTGACTCTCTGAAATTTGCTGTGTTCATTATATATAAATATATATATATATACATAGCTTAATGCATTGCTTTACCTTTTTTTACGGTTACAAAAGGACAGTAGCAAATAAATAAATGTCTCAGGATATTGAGCAAAAGCAAAATGTATCCCAGTATCTGAATATAAATCTTTTCTTTGTGCCTTTGTTCCATATCTGGTGACTTTAAGTCACATTTTGAAAAAAAATATTATTTAATCACTGCCTGCTAGTGATGCACTGTTGGGGTGAAGTGTTCCTTTGTGTTTCAAGGAAATCTCGTACTTCTTAAGCTAAATAAAAATATATATTTGAGTGCCGTTTGATCAGAATGAGCATCTAGAGACACTTCATGTACATATGAGCACGTTATTGTCGAGGATGCACAGCATGATTCAGTCCTTACTTCACACACCCTTTCATTCCTGTCGTCTAAAGATCTCTCTCTAAATCTGTGATGCCAACGAGTGTTAAAGCTGCGCCCAATGGACCGGGAGGGAACGTTCTGCGTAGGAACATGAGGAAGAAAAGGGAAGAAGAAGATGTTGAGCTGTGCTTTGGTGTCGCTTCGTGCTCTGATTGACTCTAAATGAACTCTTCTTATTGGAGAAGACTTGAAAACTAAAGATTTAGACCATAAACCTTCACAATGTTTACAGGCGGAATAAACCACGTGTTCTTTTTCTTTAAATAAAAAGTGCGTGTTTTTCTCTGCAGCGTCTCGCGTCTCTTTTGTTTGAGACGAGGCGACTGATACAGAACAGCAGCCTCATTTCACCGTGTGTGTGTGTGTGTGTGTGTGTGTGTGTGTGTGTGTGTGTGTGTGTGTGGTGTGTGTGTGTGTGTGTGTGTGCACATGCATGAGTCATCTAAATAATGTTGTTCTTTGTAACAAGAGACCAAATTACTGGTCGTGACTCATTCTGAAAAACATGTGTTTAATGGGGAAAAAAGAGGGGGTTCAATTTGTAAAAACCACCCAATAATCCTCCAAATCCCATAAACACCCACCGGGCCGCTGTTTATCAGCAGATATCGAGTTTGGTTCGAGTTCTCTCGTTGGTCGTGTTGTTCCTGGACGGACGGATGGAGACTGGACGCGTTACTAGACAGTAAAGATCACAAAGGAGACAAAGAGAGACGAACATTGTCCCCAAGAAAAAATAACCCATAATTCGCGCGTCACGACGTCTGAAGATGACCTGAATGACGAGTGATTAAGTGTAATTTGCACATGTTATTAAGGGACCGGGGGCCGATTAGCTGCGTGATCCGAGCGGTAAACTGAGGGTTACTTTCGGTTTGAAAAGAAGCTCGATGGTCGAAACCCAAAGTGAGCGTTTTCCTCCGGTCGCTACAATGTGACACGGCAACGTTACTACTACGACGTCTGAGATTTCTCTCTTTCGTTTCTACCAGTGAAAGAAAAGAAGAACACACCCGACTTATTTAGCAGCTCAGGGGGAGCTTTGCGTTCGGAGTAGTGACAAAATAATGGAGGGTTTTTTCAAAAGAGGGTAAAATCATTGCGAGAATAACAACACGGAAACGCTTTGTGCGTTTGCTATATTGTATATATATGTTGTGATGTAGAGAAAACAACATCTATTGCTCGGGTGCCTCAGTTCTTTCGACTTCACGTGCACGTCAATACTCGCGTGAATGTTCAGACAACTTTTACCTGTTTATTTGCCACGAGGATCCTTTTACATTGACCGCGTCACCATTTGCGAACGAGGGTGTTACTGTCTCACGTTTATGTGTGAAACCAAATCAGCAGCGAGGCATTTTATGACCTTTAAAAGCACAAAACACAAAGTGAAAAAGGAAAAGTGTGATGCGCATTCAAACAGGAGCCAAAGAATAGAAGATCAAAGAGGTAATTAATAAATTAACGCAGAAATATATATAATATATAATGTATATATATAATATTTATATATATATATATATATATATATACACATTACATTTCAGAGAGTTAAATTGACTCTGTGAGATTCAATCTGAGCTCTAAGATGGTGTTCATATTGTCATTGTTAAACCAACTCTCAACCAAGTGTTAACAATTTAACTGGGAATAAGTGTTAAATGTCTCTATGCGAGTACTGGATAATGACTGCAGCTCTTTCGTAAAACTCACTCTTTAATCAACTCTTTGGCCGAACACCGGAAAATCAACTGAGGACTTTGCTGAGTGTAATGTCCATTTTGTGGAGCACTATTGTTTTCAGGGGTTTAATAACTGTATTTTATTATTTAATTTATTTTAAGACACATATAACATTTCTAGGGGGCCCTCGATGCCCCCACATGGCCTTTGAATGCCGTATTGATGCCACTGGGGGGGGATTGATTTCATCAGCTCTAAATGCCTCCGATTCCTGACAGGATTCAGGTAAAGCACAGAGACACATTTACTGTTTACAATGTATCTAATAGCATGTGGCCTGATACTGTGCCATAAGTCAGTTATTAAAATGGTTTTGTCAATAGGTGAAATAACGGTCCAGTACATTCCACACGCAAAGAAGAAACACAATTTCATTTTGTAGAGAATAAATATATCTTCATAACTTTATAACAATAGAGGTTATTTGCAGCTCTGCATTTCCACATTAAGCGCGATGGAAGGAAGAGAAGTTGGACGTTGAAAAGGAATAAAGGACTCATGCGAGGACTCCCTCCTCATGTGACCTCGCCACAGGAAGAGGACACACAGGGACGGATGCTCGTCAACCTACTGAATTATAATTCAACATTTCTACTGTTGCCTCTTCCGTCTTTTGTGCGTGATTGTGAGAGCGTGGAGACCTTTGATGGAGTTTGTGTGTTTGTGCGGATCCCGGGATGATCCCAGCCTCTATAAATGCTAATGATGTGTGCAGGTGAACGATCGAGTCCTGCTTCAGACCAGCAGGGAGACCATGCAGCTACTCCAGCCTCCGCATTCATTGCACGAAAATGATCCCGAAGATGGGTTTTATTCTAACTGTGTTACCCGAGGAGACTTTTCCTCCTCCACGTGGCATCTTTCTCACCCTACGTACATTTTAAAGGCATTCAAAGGCAGGTCAAGTAAGTATGAGTTTATGAGAGTTCATCCTTTTTGCTTCACTAGACAAATACGTGTATTTAATTCTAACGCACCCAAAAAAACTCAATTCAATTTGAATTTCATAAAATATCAGTAAATTACGGGAAGCAGGGACAGGGACAGTAATTCAAGGGTATGTGTGTGAATGTCATACCTTTGCATTTCATTTTCCACAAATAAAGAAAAGGGTACAAATGAATTGAAAGGCCCGGCAAGTGTATTTGTTTAGCACATTGTGACGGCAGGGCAATTTAGCAAGTCACATAAAACCATTTGATGCATCAAAAATAAGGTCAAATAAAAGGGAACATTGTTAAAACATTACGCAAGCTAAAGATAGAATAAAAGTTGCAGTTCTGTTGCAGTGCCTTTTATCTGCCTTTTCGTAAAACCACTGTAATTGGTGATTAGCTTTAATAGCTATGCAGTTAGCTTACTAACCTTTCCAAGGCTAGCTGAAATCTAGCTAGCTAACATTACACAGTACATAATATTCGTCAATATTATTAATCTAATGTAATGGAAAAGGGACCAGATGAATCATAGATGTTAACAGTTGACTAATGATCAACACGAAACAGAACTGGAAACTGATTTCCTACATTACTACCAGAAAGTACTTTATTATGCATTATAATTTACATGCAAGGGATGAATGTGTGACTGTATGTTACAGTTATTACGTATAAGATACTTTATAAAATTCACTGTATATGTGAATTGTGAGATGTATAGATTTAAAATAGAATAAAACTTGCAGTGTAATTTAAGAATGTCTTTAAGAATTCCGAATTGCAGAAACGGTCAATTGAAGGCAGCAGCAAACAGAAAAGCCTTTAATCTGAATTTGAAGGAGCTGAGGGACTCAGCAGACCTGCAGCTTTCTGGCAAAAACTGAACGCTGCTTCTTCATGTTTAGTTCTGGCCCTGGAAACAGAAAGTAAACCCGTCCCAGACGACCTGAGGGTTCGTGGCGGTTCATAAGGTATCAGCAGATCAGAAATGTGCTTGGCCCCAAACCATTCAGTGCTTTATAAACCAGCAGCAAGATTAAGTTTTTCCAAATGTGGTTTATAACATAAATCCTCTAATCCATGATATATTCTTTAGGTGATAACAGGGTGATTTTGTAACTAACTTGATATGAATGTTCAGGTTGAGGTTTGAATCTGATAGATTTCTACCTTGGTTTGTGGTTTTTAACATTTTAACAGTGATTGAAGCTCAGAGCTGACTTTCAATCGTTCATCCTTGTTACCAAAAACAATTACTTCTGTTTTATCTTTGTTTAATTGAAGAAAGTTTTGACACATCAATTTGTTGACTTGTTCAATGCATTTACCCAGACCCTGCATTGTACTGTGGTCCCCTGGTGATATAGTTATAGATTTGCGTTTCATCTGCATAACTATGATAACACACTTTGTTGTTCTCTATAATCTGAGTCA